GTTTAACAGCTTTGGCCAGTTAAGATTAATTGAGGGCTATGTCACCCAACTCAAACCCTCTCATGACTGTTAAGCAGTTCCTCATGTGTTTGTAAAGGGAAATGCAAAAGGTTGACACACATCCTGCTTCAGCGCTTATTAGAGGAAGTGAACTTCACTCACAACTGGTCAACAAGCAGTCAAATGTACAGATCAGAAACTAGATAACAGCAAAAGTTCTGGAGTATACCAATACTCTGGTGGAACTACAAAATGAATGGATCAGAATGGCTTGCTCAAGTTTGAATGCAATACCTGGTTTTGTTTACTCATAATTGGCAAGTCAGACCTCAATGGACTGCTTTATACAAACAGCCTTTGATAAGTATTTATTTTTCATTCACAAAAATAATTTTGTTTTGATGGTCAATAAAAAAAATCTGAAAATTCAAGGTATAGAACTTCCCTGAATAAAAAGACATTCAAAAGTCAAAGTCCAAAATGATGGACCAAAGGCAAGTGCAGCAGAAATCAGCCAGTATGTGCATTTGAGAGTCCAACGGAGTCTTTTTTTTTTTTTTAAACCCTGATTGGTTAAAACTCTTCTGGTTCTGCCGCCTCATCCTCTGGAATTACAAAACCGTCCTGTTGAAAGATGGGGAAAATCACAGAACTGAGTGGGCTGATGAATGTTAAGTCTCAAACTATCTTTAAAAACAGTGATTTACACTTACGTCTGTGGCATAGAGAATATCCACAATCTTTTGCAGTGTAGGATCACCCTCACCCTCTTTCTCTTGGCAGATGAGTTCAATGTGTCTCAGTTTGCCAAAGTAGAAATCCCTTTCCTTTTCCATGTCAGCAATGGTGGTCTTCAGGTCATTTATCTGAAATTATAAAATGATTAACATCTGAACAAAGTGAAAATATAATGCTAAAGCCTTGATTTATTGTTTCGTGTAAAGTCTTACCATCTGAGTAAGTGCTCCTTTCTCTTCATCACCACCGCCTCCTCGCATTGCAGCTGGAGCCGTCTTTGGTGCTGTGGCTGAACGCTGTGGAGCTGAACATCAACAGGACATCCATCACCTTGTTATACATGCTTGTCAAACTGCCTTAAGGATAAGGGTTAATTCCAGCATCAAATTTGCTTAATTGACGAATTCTTAAATATTTTTTTTCACAATTTTAAAGCTGAAATGATAATAATAAAATATTCCACCAATAAGTGCTGTAGCCCCAAAAGAGAACAGCATGACTGTTGTTTTGAAATGTGCAATACTTCGACATTTACCATAATCACCATAATGTGAATGAGAAAATACCCAGAGGTGAATCAGCCTAGTTAGTAGAACAGGTTAGGTGAACAGACAATGTGCTTTAACTAAACTAACTGGTAGTTCTCAACATCTTACCAACAGGGGCCATTGGCTTGACTGCAGGTGTGATGCTTGTGTCTGAAGTAAACAGAAAAATCCATGCACAGGCAACGTAAGGCTCCAGCCATTCTCCAACATGTAAAAACAGCTAAAGCATGTACAACTGGCCCACTGGTGCATGACTTTGTCACACCCACATATTCTGAGGTCATAATCCATAACAGCTGCAGCTGCCATGCACCTGTTATCATTAGGACAGCTAGCTTCCGACAATAACGCTAGTCCCACATACTTCGAAGAGGACTATATGAACCCAAAAAGATTGATGCTGATAATTGTTCATTAAAAATTATTAGTATCCATTAAATATTAGTAGGTGATTTATGCATGCTATTTTCCCCTTAAGGATATGCCAAAAAAGGCTGCAATGGTATTGAGAACTACCTGTTTGTTCTCGCTCCTTACCTGAGCTAGGCTTCCTTGGCTTGTTAGCCGTGGCTGCTGCTGAACTCGGATTGCCAGCCATTTCTTGTCCCTGTCGAGCGGCCACCGGATCATATTCCTTCCCATCATAGTTTGCGTCAAAGAACTTCTTAAACCACTGCACAAACTCAAAGTTGTCTTGGAACTTGCCCTTTATAAGCTTGTCAACAGGAATGATCTAAAGAGATGAAAGATGTCAAAATAACAAGCCAATAAGGAATTACACTTTACACATTGTGCATCATGAATATATTTTGTGTAACAAAACGGAAAACACGATTTGTGTGCTAAAAAAATGTGACTGGTTGACATACTTTGCTAACACCCATCTTTTTGAAACTGGCTTGAATAAGTTTGAAGTTGTGGATGAATTCATGCTCAAGTTTGGCCTGGAATTTCACTTTCTTTAGTGGAATACAGGATGGGAACAGCATGTCCATGAATTGACAGTAAGCAGCACCTTAAAACACATTAGTAAGACAGTCAGCAAATAATACATATAAAATAAAACATAATATAAAATATTTTTTAAAAAGTCATGCAGGTCCCAACCTAGAAAAAAAAGAAAGGAAAAAAAACTCACCCCCCACCCCCTCCACAGTACTATCTTTGTTCATTCCCTCACTAATGTGACCCAGATATTGACACAAACTTAGTATGCAAATAACAGGTCATGTCATTCTATGACATCCCACTATTTCTATACAATCGTTATGGTCAAAATACAAACTGGGCTTTATGTTTATCTCAGATACCCCGTCAGTACTTTAATGATGCTCAAGTTGGGAGTAAGAAGTGAAAGAACCAGACAGCTGGTCACTGACCTGAGCACAGTTGCTCGATCTTGGCATGGCTCATCTGTAAAGACTCGTTTATCCATGTGAGCATCTCATGGCGGCTGAGGTTTTCACCCGTCCCTGATGTCGAGAACACGTTCACAGCCATGGCTCAGACAAAACCAATTATTTAAAGCTGATGGAGAAACTTTTCCGCTGAAGTTGCTATAAAAAGAGGTTGAGTTAAGAGTTCAGGCTCATTTCCTTAAACATACATTCACACCCATTAGCCCATCTACATCATCTTTACTTCCTACTTAATATCACTTCAATGTGTGGCTGTATATTTATATCCATCTAACGTTAACGTTATGAGTTTCAGGTCTGAATCGAGCACATTAACGATACATATGGAACAAAAATGGGGTAACTTAACGTTATTTGTCTTAAAGTTTGTCTTTAGTGAATGTTGTATGATGCCTATTGAACGCTCTGCTTTAATGTAAAACTAGATGTAAACTAATCTGTCAGAATTATTAATCGATTATTCATTTAGTAAACGGTTGATGCTCTTGTAATAACCGTTGTCTTTTTAACTGTCGAACATTTAAATCACAACATTAAAAGGCAAGTATCGTCCTAAGTGAGCAAATCTACCATTAAAGTACAGTTTTTCAGTGTTTCTGTGTCACAGATCAAATCAATGCTTTTATCTTACATTTGGTTCTGAAAGTCCAAACTATGATGGGATGTAAGTGAACCGGGCTGTAGTTTCACCGGCGTGTCCCGTTCGTAAAGTACCGCTTCTGCAGCAAGCTGGAAAATGGGCTGCAAGTCTGCAACCACAGCAGAAGCTTACTAACTAATCACAGATGTCAAAATAAAAGTCATCATCCAGCTATATCAAACATAACTAAATACTGCCGTCCTGTCAAAATAAAAGTAACAGTCAACTAAATAAAAGCCACCATTAAACGAATTAAATATATAACAAAATGTAAAGTTTAAATCATTCTATAACTCTTTTGGTAAATTTATATACCGCATGTATAAATATCCAATTTTAAGCTACATTTATTTTGCGGGTTTCTTTTTTTTACCAGTCTTTTGAATTAATACATTTATGCTTTATCAAACAGGCAAGTTTTAGAGCAATATGTAGTCAATAAAAAAAAAATATATATATATATATATTATATATAGTCAGTAGTGAATGTATATGTGTGTATATATACACTTGTGACTACACTTTTTAAATTATTTCTATTTTCCATGACTTTTCTAAGCCCACACATAATTTAAAAAATTCCATATTTCCATTTTTTTCCCCAAGACTGTTATTTTTTATCATTTTTATTTAGGTTATCGGTTCTATTAACTTATCTGTTAAACTAAATTAGACATTTTTCAAATACTTCATTTCTCACTTCTAAGCACATTACTAAACTAGCAACCTAATAGAAAAATATTTAAGTCAAAGCGAGTAGAAATCACATTTAATCTGGAGGACTGAATGTTTGTTGGTTGATGAAACACTTCAAATAGCATATCAATTGAAACAAAAGACAGATACAAAGGGTTGGTGAAATTTATTTTTCATCACTGATGTTAGTACAAGCATGGAATATTAAAGTTAGGCAAGCAGACTATAGCAAATATCAAAAGCTATTTAAACAAAACCTGTCTTGTCAATCATCAGTTCAAGAAAAACATCCTAGAACTACAGACATTTCATTTAGCACCAGAAGACATGGGTTTTGAAAGACCCATTCGACAGAAAAACAGAGGTATTAAGGGCAATTCCAAGGATACAAATATATAGTATATTCTGTTCACAAAGTATTGAATAAAAATAATCAGTGTTACATTAAAAATCATTCTATGAGGTCCTATGAGGCCTGCTGGTGTTGAGAAGACCTGAGGGAGTTATTTCTAACGAGACAATACTGCACCTCAAAACTACACACAGACCGTCATTTCACAACAATTACATATAACACAACACAATTCTTACTGGGATTTTCTAAAACTTTGCTACAAGTAGACATCCAAAATGAATCAAGACATGTAATCCAGTTACTGATCTTTCACAAAAGCTCACACATACACCTCAAGCTGGCCCATGCCGTACTCAAATTTAATCAATCGCAAGTTTCAGTCAGTTGGTATCATGTTTAAAAAAAAAAAAAACTTTGACCAATGACAAGGTCAGAACCACAAACACAACTATCTGCATAATGCTGAAAACACATGATTAACAACTAGAAAGAAAACAATTTATACACATTCTGAAGAACCTAATTTTTCAATGACCACAATGGAAAGCGAAATGTATTCTGAGACTTTTCAATGGTTAGATACAATTTAGACACTTGCACCCTTTAATGTAATCTGAAGTCATGCCAGTTAAAATCATTTAAACATTTGTCCTACAAAAACATATAGCCTATCCACTTGTAGGCACTTATTATTTAAGCCCTTGCTCACATTGCATCATGTTCTACAAAAAGGCCTCATAGTTAATGCAGTGACTAACTCTCAGATAGATATTGAGGTATGCTAAATCCTTACTAAAGACAACACTAAGCAATGCTGCAGTGACCACAGTTTTAGACCATCAGCTCAAGGCCAACAGTTTTAAATCAGAAGTGCGTACAGGTAACAAATGGGGTAAAAATGCAAACTGAACTGAAGTGTTGCAACCTTAATTCTAAGGGTTGATGACCTGTTTATTGTAAAATGATGTGATAGTATGGTCTAAAATGCTAGCTCAAGGCAAAAAAGTAGTCCTAAAAATGTTTGATCACACAGCAAATTGTGTTAACATTAAAAAGTAAGGAGAAAAAAAAAGCTAAAACTTTAGAAGGCATCTCAACTCAAATCTACCAACAGCCCAAGGCTTTCACTAAACTATAATTGCACAGACAACATTTGTGCTTCTGAATACATGGTGTACATGATGTATGGGTTGCATGTATTCCTATAATCAAAATGCAAGTCATCTATGGTGTGCATGAACATTCTTTTCAATTAAATAAATGATACTAAATAGGAAAACATTTAAGTTTTGACTTAGTACAGTTGTCCAGTGGCCAAACATTCTACGTTATAAAAACAGCCCCGTGGAATGACAACATGTCCAATCATTATGAAAAAAGTATGTAAATGTTTAACAACAGGACATGTTTATTCCTAAACGAGGAAAAGTTCTGATGTAAAAATGTGATATAAAAAGCTGACATGTTAAAAATGGATTTAGATAAACTAGACAGAACTAATATTAATTTATTCATTAAATTATAAATAGGCATTCCTCCAGACAACGAACCAATCACAGAATGGCACTGAGGTAGTGGGTGGAGAATCGTGTGGCTCTCTTCAGCATTAAATCACTTTAAAAGCACTCAAGTTAAAAATGACAGTACTTATGATGTTCGAAATATGATCCAAAAGTGTCTGTGCATTCCAAGGATCACTGTTCAGGATAAAACACTTTTAAAAAACAGAACAGATTTTTTTTTAAATGCAACATTAAAAATGAAAATATTCTGTGAGGTCAGAATCTGCAGAAACCTTAAAAACAAAAATCAAATTCATTTATCAGAGAGATTTGATTTGGACCTTCCAGTGCCAGAGGACGGCTTTACTCGCAAGCAAAGTAATCCTTTAGAGGGGCAAAGAGGTGTCGGATCACGGGAACACTCCAGGACCGCCCAAGGACTTTCTGTCTCTGTCCCCGCCCCATATTATTCACATCTGTGTAATGCTTTGGGAACCCAAATATTCTGAAAGTGCAGGCAGGAATAAAATATCAGTCATTTTGTCAAAATCAACATTTATGCAGCCTTTTAAACAAACCCACTGACTTACTGTATGCAAACCTGACAAGGCCAAAATTTGAGTAAAATGTAATTTAAATATATAAATAAATAGATAGATATCTGACCTCTCCATTTCAGTGCACCAAAGGTAGTCCTCTTTTCCATTCATGGTGACCGGTAGAGGTCCCATCTTTCCTTGTTTGATGGAGTTGGACTTGGTGGTAATAGTGCGAACTTTGTTGAACTGATGATACAGTTAAAAAAGGCATTTTATCAAATCATTTGTTAAAAGGAAAGAAATGCATCTTAATTGGTTTTGACGATTCTAACATCTTAGTTGTGCCTAAATTTGTGGCACCTTCTAAGACTAATATAAGCAGTAACTTGTGCATTTCTTTCATTTCATGTGTAAAACATTAACTTTTCAGTCAGAAGATACAATAAATCCGTTTACCATTGCAGTTCGTCCGACCTCCAGGCAGTCCTGCAGATCTACGTTATCAGTCAGTGAAGTAGCAAGTGGTCTAAAAACACAAAATCAAGTCTTCAGTCACATTAATCTGTGAATTAATCCATCTATTACTGAACACGCATAAACTTCCATACTTGGAAAAGTTATGCTTGTGTTTTAAAGGTATGTGTGATTGTGTGCGCGCATTTATACCGGTTCATTCCAGGTAAATTTCCCCAGAAGTAACGCGCCCTGTGGGCTGGGCTTACTTTCACAGCATCAATCATCACAGGATTACACTGGAAACAGATAAATGCATGAGAATTTATAACCATCAAAAATAGTAACATGCTCATCTCAGTGAAAAGGAATTCTGCCTCAACAGCATGTATAAATGTATGGTATGAAAGATTTCCCCACACAGATTTTGCATTGAGTTTAAGTTCAAACAGAAAGCTGCTTGGTTTGAAAGTGACTTGTGTGTGAGATGAGCTTCATACATCGCTACAATATTGACAATGGTCCTTTTTTGCCCAAGAAAATTCCCCCGAAATTTTAGCTTAATGTGTAAGCCTGAAGAAAAAAAAAAGTTTTTACCTCCAAGAAACGGCAGATATCAGCCTTGTCGTGGGCACTCATCGCTACAACATTCTCAAAGAGCCAGAAAAATGGGCGATCGTCATCCTCTTTTGGCCTCATCATGGTTAACATGCGGTAATATTCAAAGAACAGCCGACCTGTGCCTTCTAAAAGAAGACAAGAGCAAAAAAATTAAACAAAATAAATTACTTTTTTATAATTAGGTTATATCTTTTGACGCAAAAGACCAAACTCAGATGTACCTAAAACTTCACAATTCTGTTCAATTTTAATTCTGTTAAATTCTCTCTTACCAAAAAGACCTTTTCTGGCTGGATTCACCATGGACAGGTCATTACACGGACTTCCACCGATCAGGAGGTCAAATGGCCCCCACTCCGCCAGCTACAAAATGGTGACAACAGGGAACTTTAAAAGGGATCTCGTCACAGTGACAGCCTTTCACTCTTGCAGATACGAGAAAGAGTGTTTTTAAAATAGCAAAGTTTAGCCGTTAAAGGAGAACTCCGGCGCAAAATGAACCTCGGGTGTAATAACACATTGGTACAGACTAAATCGTTCCCTGAGATTTGTTTTCATGATAATCGAATATAAAGAGTTTTATCTCTAAAAACAGTTTAGCTTATAACGCTAGTATATTGGGCATCGAGTAAGCAAAAAGAGATCGCTAGTTAATACCATTAACAAGGCTGAAATTAGCCCCACACTAACACGTTAGCATAATGAGTGTCCTTACATGCAAACCGAAGCATTGAGAACTTTGTAAGTGTATAGACAGTTTAATAAGAACATACTTTACACAGACAGTACAGTTAGCGCATACAGACAGGACCCATCTTGGAAAACAGTCTCGATCAATCGAACCACGAAGGTGAGCGAACAGTACGTGTAGATATTGAAGATAAGATAAATTATATTTATTTTTTTATTTTCTCTGTTGCGTTCAGTGCTTCTCTTATGCGCTCAGTGCTTTCTTCCGGAAACAACGGACCATATGAGATTCCAAGTCACAGTTCAGCTCACATATCACCGTGTTCGTGGTTTGACTGATCGAGACTGTTTTCCAAGATGGCTGCTGTCTGTATGCGCTAACTGTACTGTCTGTGTAAAGTATTTTCTTATTAAACTGTCTATACACTTACAAAGTTCTTAATGCTTCGATTTGCATGTAAGGACACTCATTATGCTGCCGTGTTAGTGTGGGGCTAATTTCAGCCTTGTTAGTGGTATTAACTAGCGATCTCTTTTTGCTTACTCGATGCCCAATATACTAGCGTTATAAGCTAAACTGTTTTTAGAGATAAAACTCTTTACATTCGCTTATCATGAAAACAAATCTCAGGGAACGATTTAGTCTGTACCAATGTGTTATTACACCCGAGGTTCATTTTGCACCGGAGTTCTCCTTTAAAATCTGGTTATGCATCAAATTCCTTAAACTACTTTAATTAAATGTCTATGAAGAATGTGAAATAGTTAATAGTTTATGCGATAATGCTCTATACGTACATGCTTCCTTGTGATGGTCCGGACATCCTTCACATATTCAATCAAGCCCTCATGTTTGATCATCCCGACTGCAATGGAGTCTTCACAGATCTCAGAGGCAATGTAGCGGTCTAACTTAAAGCCCAGGTCTTTTAAAACCAGATAGCCTACAAAAAAAAGAAAGAAAAGACGCAAGAATGAAATTATGAACTCCCACGATGCATTGTCATTGCACAAACCTTAAGGTAAACAAAGTAAAAAAACAATAAGTGCTGTTTTGCAAAAATCAAAAGAAAAATTGTTGAAGAATATACTGGCATTATGACTGATTTTATATTTTTGGCTGTAAATATTCCAGTAATTTTGAAGTGAGCAGACCTGTTGCAATCCCATCAAACAGGGAGAGGACTCTGATTGGACGACGCTGACGAGCTGGAATAGAAGGATACACTCGGTGTGGCTCCTAAACCAAGGACAAAAACAGTTTTCTTTGTATTAATACACCATTCTGCTTTTAATTGATTATTTAATTCAGCCAGGATGCATTCAATTGAAAAATGGACAGTAAAGTATTTTACATTGTTACAAAAGATTTTTAAATGTAACTGTTCTTTTGCATTTTCTATTCATCAAAGAATCCTAAAAAAAATAACCAGTCTTCACAAGAATATTAATTTCTTGAGCACCAAGACAGTATATTAGAATGATTTCTGAAGGATCATGTGAAACTGAAGAATGGAGAAATGGCTGCTGAAAATTCAGCTTTGTCATCACAGGAATTTTCAAATAGAAACCAGTTCTTTTAAATTGTAACAGTATTTCAATGTTAGTTGTTTTGTATTATTGATCAAATAAAATGCAGCATTCGTGAGCATTAGAGGCTTCTTTTAAAAGAATCGAACCAACTTTTGAATGGTAACGTTAATCGCAAAATACGAATTGGACTAGATGGAACACAAGATGCAAATGGTGCCACTGGGGTATAGAGTCCGTATCTCTTTCTTTATACAAATTGGACTACTTGGATATCTAACACAAGGATAAGATGGACACTCACAAATTCAAAGGCACTGTTATTGGCGAAATACTCCTGGACACGAACACTCCAGTCAGGCCTGAGCTTGAGCACACCATAGCACTTTGAGGGCAGGCAAATGTAACAGCTCCATGGGTCAACCTCCTTCAGCTTTTCGAATGTCCCCGGTCCCACCAACACATTCAGACAGTCTTTACAGAAACATCTGAACAGAGTGAAAAAGACAGTAAAACAACCTGTTTTGATGGTTAACATGACATTAAGGTTTAAGTTAGAGCAAGTTTGAGTTCAAACCTGCAGCAGCTGGCATTTCCACAGAGAATGACCTCTTGTCCAGCACAGCACACAGTGCAGTATGACTGATAGCCATCCTCATCATACCTGTACAGCGTCTCTGTAAAGTTCTCCTACACAAATACACAATAGTACATGGAAAATGACATTCTGGCCAGCAAAAGCAAGTAGCATATACATTTTGTGATTCAGTACTAAAAAGATAAGACAAGATTTGAATCACACCTTGCACTTAAAACAAAGGCTTCCTTTGAAGAGAGGATGGATAATTTCAACGTTGTCAGTTCCACAGGACAGGCAGAAATCTGGGGAAAGAGTCATGGGAACAGACATTCAGTATAATTATCTTGCAATTGATTAAAAATAAAGGACTGAGCGATAAGAATTGTCCCAAAGGCAAAACTAAGTCAAAATAAAAAGAAAGGTATGATTTATTGTGGTGGCAGCTGTAAAAATATACACGGTGCACATGCAAATTTAATCTAAAGAGATCTACAGCTTTTGACCAATGAATTGACATGCCTATTCTTAGTGTTTAATTAATAAATGTAATATTTTACATATATATATATATATATATATATATATATATATATATATTCATTTTTTGTAAAAAAGCCATTTTAATTAAATAGTTTAAAGCTGGCCATAACTATATTTCCACAATTTTCCTACTACCTTTTATTAATTCCCATAATGTTGCCAGGCTGGGAAAATCACAATTTGATCATTCCCTTGCATTTCCAGGTTTTCTGATTGGCCTCGTAGGAAAAACTATCATTTAAATTATTGTTGAGCCCTGAAATAGGCAGCTTTAATAATTATTTTATTTCTATCATATTCATAAATTGAACTAAGACAAGTGACTCACCTTCAATCTTTCTGCCTTTAACGGTTACCTCATCGACCATTTGATCTGAGAAGAAAGGGAATAAACATGGGGTGGTGATGGCGCAGTGGATAAGACACATGCCTTTGGTGTGAGAGACCCGGGTTCGAATCCACTGTGAGACACCAATGTGTCCCTGAGCAAGACACTTAACCTCTAGTTGCTCCAGAGGCGTGCGACCTCTGACATATATAGCAATTGTAAGTCGCTTTGGATAAAAGCGTCAGCTAAATGAATAAATGTAAATGTAAATGTAAATGTACATGGGTTATGTCCTCTTTCCAAAATTATTTAAACACAGTTTTGTGTTAATGTTTTATGAGATGGAAACCTGATTTATGCTATTATGATTTATGCTAAGTTCTGGCTTCTATGCAGATTGATATAACTCACCTCTGGTGTACACCTGAGTTGATGGTCTGGATGGTCTGTTCTTGCAGACATACTTCCTCTTGGCTGGAGGCTGATAATCAGACACAGAGGAATCCGACTCAGTTTTATTACTGGTAGAGCTGTCTGTGAAACGGAAAAGCAGATGGAACTCTTGTTAATCAACCCAGATCATCTGTGCATAATCCAGATTTCTGATCAATGTGAAGTCACATTTTGAAGGCACACAATTATTGTATTTTTGTGACATATAATTTGTCACTTTTGATACTCTATGTTATTTGGTCTGTTTACACCTGGTCACTTCATGAGTTTTTTTGATCGGATAGCTATCTTAACGTGAAAAGATCAGGTGTAAACACCCTCCGAAGCACTTTCGTGACGGAATTAAATCCGATCACTCAAACCACTTAAAGGGATAGTTCAACCAACAAATGAAAATTAGCCCATGATTTACTCACCCTGAAGCCATCCTAGGTGTATTTAACATTCTTCTTTCAGACGAATACAATCAGAGTAAATAAAGGCCTTCTGAAGTGAAGCGATGCGTTTGTGTAAGAAAAATATCCATATCAATATCCATTACACGAACACATCGCTTCACTTCAGAAGGCCTTTATTAACACCCGGAGATGCGTGGAGAACTTTAATCATGAATAGATGCACTTTGATGGACTTCCAATGACATCCAGCCATTCACTGGCATTATAAAGCTTGGAAGAGCCAGGACATTTTTTAATATAACTCTGATTGTATTCGTCTAAAAGAAGAATGTCATAAACACCTAGGATGGCTCCAGGGTGAGTAAATAATGGGATAATTTTCATTTTTGGGTGAACTATCCCTTTAAGGAGGTGGTCTGAGACGCATTTCAGACGAAACCGGACACGTTTTAAATGCATCTGGTTGATAAAACAACATATGTAAATTTTATTCCTCCCGAAAATGTAAAAAAAATAAACGTGTAAGAGTGTGTTAAAGGCTATATGACATGTATACTGCAACACTCATTGCCGCAGACAAGTAGCTGAGTATCTCGGCAAGCCGACGTGCAAACTGCCGCAAATGAAAGAAGTCGCAGACCCTAAACACAAAATCATCCTCATTAAAAGTAGTGAGACTAAATTATCCTACCACTCTCTCTCCTATCACGGTCTTTGATCTTGAAATTAGCTGATAAATAAAATGCAGCTAATATCTGTTGCTTTCATTGACGTGAACTGTTAAATTTGAATATAGCGCGGGAATTGATCTAAAGATCGGATTTAAATGTTGCAGAGACACATTTAAGTGCCCATGTGTAAATGGCAACATTTTAACAAATCAGATAGCTATTTGATCACAACACATGAAGTGACCAGGTGTAAAAAGGCCCATTATAAACTTTCAAAATTGCTGTCAATTACCAATTGCTTTGTTTTTCCAATTACAGATATGTTTTAGATTTTGTACATACCTACAAGAGGCAAAAAGCCATCAGGACCCATGGGCTGGAAGCCTCCAAATGCCCAATCAAGCATTGCTTTCACCTCTTCCCCTTTCTTCTCCGGGGGGGGGAACGTTTTCCCACAGCGCTCACCCGCCAACTACACATGAACAACAATATAATGCAGTATTACAATAAGAATAAAATAAGAACTGGTACTCTATTTCCAACAGTAGTTGAGAAATGTTAAATAAGTATCTTTCCACTGTACCTCCAGGATTTGGTAGATAGCATTCTTGTAGGTAGGTAGACCTTCATAGGATTTACTACAAAAGCACTTTGCAAATGCAGAAAAGGGCAAAAGTCCCTCTGTATGTATCTAAGATTAACAAGAGAAGCATGCTTCAGTGTGAAATACTGGATCTTTTGAAGAATGCAGGAAAAAAATTCTAAAGAATAAAAACTAACCTCTGAAAACATGCCATCTCCAAACCACTCTACGCGCCTCATGGACACAGGAGGCGTCCTGCCCTTCCAGGCCACCACCAGTCCAGGCCACCAAGAGAAGCCCTTCACTTTTCCCCACACTAGCTCTCCAATGGCATAACCCTTCCCATCCTGCACAGAGAAACAATAAGTAAATGATATATACATTTATAACATGCATGTCACATTATATCAATTAAGAAATGACTGTACAAGCAGGATGAATATGACTTCAGCATGTAAGAGAAATTGTCAGAGCAATCAAAAGTAAACTAAAATAATATAATCATTTACACCCAGTATTCTATTTCAGATGCTCCAGCCACAATTGGACAGTGCCAAATCCAGCGTAAAAAGTTTCAATTGTTTTGTGATCACTCAAACCACATCCTGAGGTAATCAAAAGAATTCAGAGAACGTATGCAGTGACACAGATCATTTACTTTAGATACAACGTCTGTTAATGAATCCATGCAGATCATGTGAAACACACATCTGTAGTTACTTCATTTAGGTAATGTATGTCAAGTTAAGTCACCTTTATTTATATAGCACTTTTTTACGAGACAGATAGTTTCAAAGCAGCTTTACAGTGATAACAGGAAAATAATGTGACGATATTAAAGAAATTTAGAAACCTAGAAGAATTACCTGGTACGCTTGTTCTTTCTTTCCAGGTCTGGGGCTCAGTGTTGAATTCGATGCAGAAGAACGAGCATTGTTCTTCACCTACAATTAATACAACAGTTACTTTAAATTATGTATGCTGCCTTTGTGTCTCCCTAAAGTAAGTGCAATTAGACTGTAAACATTTTGTGTGGAAAACACAGACATAACACCCAGTTTTAAATGAAGCCTCTGCGGATCTGTCTGTATGCAAGCTTCCACAATGCTAAAAGTCTCATGAAACATGAAGTGATTAACTTTATAATCATTTGTAAATGTTACCCCATGTAAAGATGTGTATTCTTCATACACAAGCATTTCGGTCTTTCTTATGTATGTTAGTGTGTAAGTCCAGCATGCATAACACTGCACACAATGAATTTAAATTTATTATAAAAAGCACTTTTCACAATACATATTGTTCCAATGCAGCATAATGAAAATAAACAAGAAACTATTTAAAGATGATACCATGGAAAAGATGTTATGAATGTTAGCACTGAAATTGCAGAGGAAAAAGCAGACAAGGACACAGCTACAGCAGGAACATAAGATGAAGACTCAAAAGACTAATCTACCAGCCAGAAAAGAAACCACAGGGCTCATGCACACATTCATGAAGCAGCATCTATTGCTTATGAAAACAGCTCAATGTAATACAGAGAGCATGAATGGGACGAAACTGAAAGGCGGACACTCTACACCCGCGATAGGCCAGACAGAGCACTGAATCTTGACCTGGGCAGGTACATACCGCCTCTGGCTTGCTGTCCTTGTCTGGGGTCGCTGGTTTGCTCCAGGTGCCAGCACCGGCCTGAAAGACTGTACGTGCCAGTGGTTTCTGCCGTAAGCTGCTCTCCCAACCGAATATTCCTCTAACAGAGCCCTATAGACCCATACATATGCATACAAATTACAAACACTGTCAACTCAGATCACATGACTCCTAGAGTAAAGTAATCAATAACAGGGCCCTAAAGTACAGATATGTAGAGAAGGAAAGAAAGAAGTTTAGTCAAGAGAGGTTAGTTTGATGATATGTTTGATGTGTTTGTGTGTACCGGTGCATTTTTTCCCACCCCTGTGATAACTAAAGTTGACCTAATCAGTCCTGGTTTGCTTCATCATCTCAAGAATACAATGTAAGATAGAATTCAGCTAAAGTATTCACTGCTCTGGGCATATTCAATTATGAGACTTTGGCAGAAAAGCTTGAACATTAAAACGTAATAATAGTGATAGACTGGTATTTTTACCAGGCCCGATCATCAGTATTGCTAATAACCATTCGTGCATTTCCCAGAATGTTGGTTTGCCCTTTATGTCAGTACAAGATCTACAAACAGTCTAGTCAAAATTTGACTACCATTCAAAAGTTTGGGGTCAGTAAGTTTTATTTTAAGGAAGTATTTCTTTGATTCAGCAAAGACACATTAAATAGATCAAAAGTGACAGATACTGTGCGTTTGAGCTTTATATTCATCAAAGGATCCTGAAAATGATCACAGTCTTCTAGAAAAAATATTAAGCAGCACAACCAGAGTAATGGCTGCTGAAAATTAATAGTATTTTAACAATATTACTGCTTTTACTGTATTTTCAATGAAATAAATGGAGCCTTTAAATATATATCATTTCAGTGTGTTCCATATACATAATTTTTTTTTTAGGTTGCGGGTTCGATTCTCAGTACAGGCAGGAAATGACTAAGGTACCCTTGAGCAAGGCACCTAACCCCTATCGCTCCACGGGCACCACAGCAAAATGGCTGCCCACGGCTCAGGGTGTGTGTGTCCACAGTTTGCGGTGTGTGTGTGTGTGTGTGTGTGTGTGTTCACTACTCACTACTTCTAATGTGTGTGCGTTAACTTGGATGGGTTAAATGCAAATTCTGAGTATGGGTTACCATATTTGGCCTTCACATGTCACTATTCTCTTCTCGGTATCAGCATCAGCCATTAAAACATACACATTGGTCTGCCCACTATTTACAACGACACTAAGGATTTAATTCCTTTGGTTAAAAACAAATCTGAAAACATTTAATAGTCGTTTCTCAGCCACAGTTGTTTTCCAGCTAATATTACCTCCTGTAATGTGTTAACGCCATCGTCGGCTCCATCTTTCTTTAAGTCCATTTCTGCAGGAAAATCAAATTTAAACAGTTAAATCGATAAGAACAGTCAGGTATGAATTTATCTATTTTGAGGTGCCAAAAAAAAAGTAACGCTAATAGCAACAATTAACATTATTTTGAGCACAGACAAATAGAGCATGTACATTTGTAATTTCAATGCAAAGGAGCAACTTTCTTGAGCATTTAGTGTGAAGCGGAGACAAAGGAAGAAAGTTCAGACCAACAGATGTTTGCCACCAGGAGAAGCGTTTGAGATTGTAAAGCATTATTCTATAGCTGCTCTAGAACCTCTTAAACTGGACATTTCATTCACACCTCTCTGACTGGTGATCTTCTCCAGTCGCACCACACACGGCTTCACTGCGCTCACTGAGTGTTGAACCGTCTCTGGAAAACAGCACATCGTTTCCATCAATCTAACCAGCCTCTGCTGGATCTGACTGGATAGAACTTTAACTGCACTACACAATCAATAATATAAATTTCAATTTGATAATTTCATTGTACTTACTATGTAAATTATTGGCACTAAATTAATCCATGACAATTCATTGGGAAATATAGTAATCTGTGGAGCACCATTTAGTAACAAAAAGCACCAGTGTTGATTACATGCAAGCCGAAAGATGTTTCTACAACTTCAAATGCTTGAATGATTTTGACAATGCAGATCCAGTCTTGCAGAGCTAGACATTTGGTTGTTGGCTTAAGGCTGGGTTCACTTTGCATCTTATTCTGGCCAAGAACCACACATTTAGCCGCTGTGCATAAGCTTCGTTACACACTATTAATGGATCTAGAAAACTTGAAAATATTGGGGCAGACTATTGTGGTCTTGGCAGTGACCACTGAGCTGCTTCTCACAATGAAGAATGGAAAAGCCATTGTCAGCCTTATCTGACATTGCTGATCCAATCTGATCCACACTTTTTCCGCAGCAACACAACTTTGAATATATCTTTCAGATTTAATGCCATGAACCTTGAAAAAAGTGGTAGCCCTTCCTATCGTAGTAGCCCTTACCTTGGTAGCATAATTTTGCGTTCAGATGGACTGATAAAAAAAAAACTGTGGCACCCGAAATTCAAAAGGTTACATTTTTATTAGATGGTCTGTATACATTTTTTATGTGGTTTTCTGCTGTGTAGGTTGATTTCCCCCCCCAGGTATGCCGACTATGTCAAAGGCTGAGAATATATACGTCATTCTCACTGTGAATCGTTTTGGTGCATTTGTTTCACCAGTGATTGTCTATACTTTGCCTTAAAAAAAAACAAAAAAACAAAAAAAACCTTTAGGACAACTTACCTGACGTGCTGCTTCTGGCTTTTTTCTTCATCCCATTTCTGATGGGTGAAATCTTAACTTCAGTTTGCTCTACGGATGAGTCGTCATTGGAATCCAGCTCCTTTACTATATCAGTGTCACTTTCACCTGAACTATCATCCCAATGAAGAGCATCGCCATTTTCAACAGCCTGTAAGTAAAACCATTTTGAACATGACAAAATTAATTGACACAGATAAATAAAACGACCATAGAGAGAGCTATAGATTGATATATAGACTTGTATTCTATACCTGGGCAAAGATCTTTTCTGCTTCAAGAGAAGGACAGGGCAAAACCAAAAGACAGAGGACAAGCCTCTTGAAAATAGATGCTGGGGGAAAAGCCTTGAGCACACCACACCAGTATCGCTCCAGAGAAAGGGTTGAAGATGAGTCTTCTTCATCCTCAACAAGCTGATACTCCAAGAACTCATCAGTGAGCTTGGCAGAATCCTCAGGTTTGGAGCAGATGCCAAATTGTACAGCAAGGTCAACTACATTCTTTCCTGTGATCTTTAACCTTCCCGCTGGGCTGAGGAGCTGTGAAATGCCCCTCAAGACACTTTCGCTCAGAGGGAGACTGTCAGCGATAGAGGTCGTAAGAGTTTTGTAAAACTTTAAAGACTCGTCATGAAATGCATTCAGGGAATCTGCCAGTTCCTCTTCTCTGGCAGAGATGAAGTCTTCTACCACACCACCCAGACTGAGCTCAGTAGCAGGAAGACAGAATGTTGAGTTCTCCAGGATGGTTGGGTCTCGTTCCTTCAGGTAGCGTATGACCGCTTGAGGGCGGAGAAAGCTGGAGGCATATGAACGTAGGAGCCCACTTGCTTCTCGAAGGATCTGGACAAGGTCAGCACGAACAGAGCCTTTGCTTTGTTGCAGGTGCTGCCCGAAGGCACGGAGTGGACCAAGAGCGTGATCCAGAAACATCAAGGTGACCCTAATTTTAGGGTTCTCCAACTGCGAACAAATATGCTTAGCTTTATCATTATTTTCATCACAGGAAGTGAAGTAAGATACCAAATCACTCCACATTCCAAGCATCCTTTGAACGAGCACACAAAACTCCTCACAACTGTGTGAAAGGGGTGCGCCGTTGTCTTTTAGTCCATTAATGCCTGCAAACAGCATCTTGAGGTTGTCATTGCTGGTGGAACAAGTGGAGAAGTGTGCGTAGATGTTGACAATAAGTTCATGAACCTGACTGGAGTAAGCCTTTAGGCCAGCATTGTAGGCAGAGTCAGGTATGCTGTAAAGTCCACCAAGATCAATCACCTGTGGGTTAAGCTTCCGAATTTGCAACACAACACTTTCTGAGGTCTGTTCCTGATCATTAACATAGAAAGCTACCATGTTGCTTGCAGGAAGTTCAAACTTTTGGAGGACATTGAGTAAACATCCGTCTGAAAGTCGTGAGTCGTCAGCCTGAAAGACATCAAGGAGACGGATACAGTACCTTGCTTGATTTTCCTCAAAAAAGCCCACGAGCACTACATGGCAGGAGGTCCTTTCTCCGCTCTCTACATCAAGTGGCACCTGCCCATATATGTAGATACAGAACGGGTTCAGCTTACAAGCAGAAACAATGTCCTTTGGATACTCTAGTCCGAGGATGTATTTTGCAGTACGTTGGGAGGCCTTGTTGATCCTTGAAGGTAAAATGGATAGGCAATGGGTTTGAATGAAAAGCAGCATGGTTTCACTACAGGAAATGGAGACATCAATCTGCTTTTTCCCAGATGAATTTAATCCTCCCAGCTCAAATTTCATATGCTTTTGAGTCTGCTGGTGTCGCTTCAGATCGTAAAAACCTGCGTGTAGGATGACATTATGGTCACACAAAGTGCAGTAAGCGCAGTTGTCTCCCAGATGACTGGCTTTGATCCATTTAAAGGTTCTTTGCCATTTAGGATCATAAGTCACAGGTCGCCTCCTTCCATTAAAATCATTGTCTTTGTCAGACTCGTCCCTTACTCTGCCTGTATAAAATGAAAAACAAGTTACATCAGTGAGTGTTACTGAGGCAAATTTTCTACTCATGACTGAGGGGAATAGAATTGAATAAAATAATTAAAAGTCTAATAAAAAAAGGGGAGGGGGGGAAAGAATAATTTAAATACAAAACTGAAATGACAATAATGGAGGCTTACCAGATTCATGTGGACTTTTCCAAGATTTTGGAGACTTAACAGCGTCATCTACATGTACAATATCCTGACCATTACGAGCTTCAACTGGGTTGTACTCCCTCCCTTGCCTCTCATTGGCATGGAAAAATTTCTTTAACCACTTCATAAAGGTGAAATTGGGTCTAAACTTTCCTGTAAGAAGCTCATTCACAGGGACTGACTGAAAGAAACATAAAAAATTGAGAAAGTCAATGTACTGTAAAGAGCTTGACAGACAACATACTGTAGTTCTCAGATTATGTTCTTATACAAGATTCACATTTAAATATCCATCATATAATTTCTGCAGCACGTATGGGATTAAACAGAATAGCAACAACATAAGGAAAATAAACAAATTTGCATGCATCATCTTACACATTCACAATTGTATATGCAGGAGGATTAATAGAATACATTATCTGACTAAATCTGACCTCTGTTATGCCTAATTTCTGGAAAGCTGCCTGCAGAAGACTGTAGTTCTGCATGAAATCCGAACTCTTTTGGGACTCAAACTTTACTTTGCTCATGTCAATGGACCCTGGGAAGAGCAAGTCTATAAGCTGGCAAAAACATGCACCTAAAAAAAGAATCATGTAATTCAGGTTAAAGCTGTTGTCAATAAGCAGACATTAACAACAAAACAGAAGAAAAAAAAATCAAAACAGTACCTGACCGACATTGCTCCACTTGAGTAAAGTTAGTGTGCAGGGTTTCGTTGATCCAGGACAGAATGTCATAGCGACTGAACTTGTCATCAGGGTTATTCGGGTCCAGACTAACATTTGTAGCCATCTTATGCTTTCATAATGCAAAACAAAAATATTTTTCTTACAAAATAACAATAGAACGTGAGACAACATTCAGATGCCATAAATCACAACCAAAGTAAATTTCATTGCACATTTGAGATCATAGAGAAGTGTTTGTTGTTTTATGTCTTACATTTCTTAGACCAGAGAGAGTAAGGTATGGCACTAAACCAGTAATAAAGCACATTTTGTTCACCTATCTAGTATTTATGGAAAAGACAAAGAGAGATAAGTCACATAAGTTAATAAGTCAAAGGGGTCCATCAACTCTTTGGTTACCACCATTCTTCAACATTCTTTTGTGTTCAGCAGAAGAAAGAACTTCATACAGGTTTGGAACAATTTGAAGGTGAGTAAATTATTTTTGGGTGAACTATCCCTCTAATATACAGAGGCGGCTGTAAGAAAGACATTTCTTGGTTAATTTTTCCAAGAAGCACTGTGGCACTATCAAAACATACTCATTACTCTTTCTTTTTTTTGCAGTTCCATTTGGTGATTACACTCAAGCTGTGGTTTTTGGTTGGAATTTGGCACTTCATTTATGACAGACCTGAATTAGACACAGCTTGATGACCATCCCTTTAAATCGTGATTGCACTTTTATTTGTTTTAACATCAGCAGGCCTAATTTGTTTAAAGCCAAAGCAGGACAGACAGGATAGGTGAGTCTCCATCCATGACCAATAGAACAGGATTTTTTATTTTCCTTTTCTCACTCTCCCTTTCATTCATTGAGTCTTCATCCCTTCTTTCTCTTTCATACATATTTTTTAATCTGTTTTGTGTGATTGTATTTCTCCTATTTCATCTTAAAATGCAGAAAAATAAGAAATAATGCAAAATGACTCTACATGAGATAACATAAAGTTGATAGAGATGCATAACAAAGTTTACTGAAAGTTTTTGCATTTTGAAGAAGCCTAACTAGTCTAAGTCATATTGCATTTCCTCAAAACTAAAAAGACTACAACCTCTATCTTGCGTCAGAGTGTTGAGTAAAACAACTCCTCCCCACTTTACGAAAATCTCGCGGGGTAATTTTTGCCGCGAATGCAGCGCGCTTATAAAGTAGCTTTCACTTTTACAGGTTAAACCTGTGACAACTTGATACACCGTGGATCGAAAACAATGTGCGCACGCAATCTAAATGAAAGTATGAAATAAACAAAACCGGTAGCATGCATTTAACGTTAGATGTTTAGCGGTTGATTTATTTGTGGAACGACGATGGAATTGTAGTGGTTCATAGCATTATAATTTAGTCGCTGACTCTTGTCTTTGTGAACCCTTTCAAAACAATTGGATTTACGCTACCGAAACAAATGTTTACAATTTGTGCGATTTTAACTTTGCAAGTCGCTTTAACCTAGACGTAAACGGCTAACATGCAATGCAATTTATGTTTGCAAATAACGTCAATTCAGTAAACACTTTTTCCATAAACCATATCCGCGTTCTCATTGTATTAAGACCGGTTCGGTTGCCTTTGTCAGTGTGTCTTTGTGTAGCTGTAATGGTCGCTCACATGAAGCGAAAACTGTAACGTTACGGGGCAATGAAACATAATACTGAAATCAGCAGAATCGTAACTCTCCACAAAATCTAATAAATCGAAACGTGCTTTTAAAAAAAATCAAGTATGTCCTACCTTATTTGTACCTTGGTCCCGGAGAACTCGCTACTCCCCAGTCTAGAAGGTAATTCCCAGTCAACCCCAGTGCCTTCCCCCAACATATGCAGTGTGCTGACAAGGATTGGCCTGTAGAAGCCAAAGTGGGAGGTACTATACTGCAGCTAGCTAAGATCACTCGAACGTACGAAATAGCGTGTTGTTGGGCAAACATTTATTTTCACGTCAGATGTGAAATCTCTCCAGTTGTTTTATTCGTAACCATTAGCAACGAATAGCCAAGAATGGGCATTCGCGATTTTTTTAGTCGCAGTTAAAAACACAGATCAGTTTTGCACATTATGTTCTGTTGTTTAAACCATAAACGTTGTTGGATTATTTCGTCAAAATTACTGAAATAATGTTTAAAAATGTTACGCTCAAAGATATCCACAAGTTTGGCAGAATGATTAACTTTTTATTTAATCTTTTTTAATGACTATTTCCGTTACGATCATGACACGGTCACAAACGAAAGCCACGTGGCGAGCACGCGCATGGTTGTCGAGTTGGTGAGATGTTTTAATGTTAGTACATTTTGAAATATTGTGTATAATACCTCAGAGACCAAACATATATTTGCGAAATTACGCCTTTTATTGTTAAATGTGCATAGCGTACATTTAACGTGTTTAACGTCACATAACTCTCAAATATCAATAATCTCGCAGTAAACAGTGAGAGGTTAGTGACACTGATATGGCGCACCGCTGAGTTGAACGTGTTGATATGGCGCCAAAAAATAAAAGCTTCGGGGAAAGGGCTTGTTCACCACCTAAAATGGCGGGGCTATTTGAATGGGCTTGTTCTGAAATGTGATGTGACTCGTTTGTATCTTTAAGAAGAAATTCTATTACACAGAGTTTAAATACACTTTACAAATGTAAGACGATCCTTTAAGTTTGTCATCTCAATGTAGTCCACTTGGGACCCTGCCTTTACATCAGCCACACATTTTATGTTTTTCGTTTTATTCTGCCTTACTAGCGCAGCCAATCACACCAGCAAACTATTTATTTAATCATAAAAATATAGTTTATGTAAATTTATTTTGGAGCTTGAGAAATAATTGAGAAAACCACAATAACACTTTAACACAAAGAAGTCATTAGAGCAGCCAATCACACCAGCAAACTATTTTTTTAATCATAAAAATATAGTTTATGTAAATTTATTTTGGAGCTTGAGAAATAATTGAGAAAACCACATTACCACTTTAACACAAAGAAGTCATTAGCATGTTAGCCTACATAAAATATGCACACAAATATATAATAAAATAAATAAAAGGCTACCTTTATGACAGAGCTGGGGTCCATCAACTCTTTGGTTACCACCATTCTTCAAAATATATTCTTTTGTGTTCAGCAGAAGAAAGAAATTCATACAGGTTTGGAACAATTTGAAGGTGAGTAAATTATTTTTGGGTAAACTATCCCTTCAATATGCAGAGGCGGCTGTAAGAAAGACATTTCTTGGTTAATTTTTCCAAGAAGCACTGTGGCACTATCAAAACATTATTCATTACTCTTTTTTTTTTTGCAGTTCCATTTGGTGATTACACTCAAACTGTGGTTTGGAATTGCAATGAGAAGAGGTTCTTCTCTACTAACCACTTCATTTATGACAGACCTGAATTAGACACAGCATGATGACCATCCCTTTAAATCGTGATTGCACTTTTATTTGTTTTAACATCAGCAGGCCTAATTTGTTTAAAGGCAAAGCAGGACAGACAGGATAGGCGAGTCTCCATCCATGACCAATAGAACAGGATTTTTTATTTTCCTTTTCTCACTCTCCCTTTCATTCATTGAGGCTTCATCCCTTCTTTCTCTTTCATAAATATTTTTTAATCTGTTTTGTGTGATTGTATTTCTCCTATTTCATCTTAATATGCAGAGACAGCTATAAAAAAAAGACATTTGTTGGATGATTTCTCCAAGAAGCACTGTGGCACTATCAAAACATGACTCTGTTTGAGCATTTCAACCAGCCCAACAGAACAATAACGACACAACACTGAGTTTGGGGCAGGGCTACCTGTTTTTCTGGTCAATTGGAGAGTCTAGGAAACCTGTTTGAAAACATTTATTATTTTTGCAGTTCCGTTTGGTGATTTCTGATGTGAGTTCCGTTTGGTGAACTGTGGTTTCTGGTTGGAATTGCAATGAGAAGTTCTTCTCTACTTACCACTTCTTAATAACTCGCAATTGCGATTTTATATCTCACAATACTGAGAAAAGAAGTCAGAATTGCAAGAAATAAACTCAGAATTGCTAGAAAAAAGTCAGAATAGCGAGATAAAAAGTCGCAATTATCTTTTAAATTGTTTTATTCCATGGAGGAAACAAGCTTCCATAGTTTTCACAGTTATCCCATTAGAGATTCCCCAAAGAACCATTCCCTGGTCAGTTTTTAAAAGAACCTTTTTTTTTTCTTCGTGTGAAGAACATTTTAATAATCTAAAGCATCCTTTTTCTGCTTATCACAAAAAAAGAGATGAGAGAGAAAAGGAAAAGAGCAAAGGACCATGTGATCTGTTTTAATATTTTTTGTTGAATTATTGAAGTTGACTGTCCAGTGGAACACGGAAGCTTAAACTGAAGTGAGTTCCTTATCAGAAGTGAAAGAAGTAGTCAGCGATTCCTATCACGCTCCTGCTCTACAAAAACAGTAGTCTTTATCTTCTCTCCTTCCTGTCCCCTCCAGATGTCTGCTGTTTGAAACTGAAAATAACGGTTACACTACAACATAACTTATACCCACACATAAATCTCTCTCATGCATATTTCACAATGTCTCCTTTGGCACGCTTGAGAAAGTGACCATTTAACTTGTGTTTGAGACATACTTTTTCTCTTGTGATTATTTGCTGTCTGCTAGTTTATGAAGGGCAACTTTTTTTAGGAACTGAAAACATTTGAGAGACCTGGGATTTTCCACATGGTCAAAGCAGTAATAAAATAAAAGTCCTGTCATCATCCTCACATTTCTCCAACCTGTACTTTCTTTTATTTGTAGAGCACACAAGGAAATATTCAGAATCAGAAGAGGTTTTTTCTTTCGTTTGCCATAGTGAAGCTTCAAAGCACCAAAAAGGACTCAACAATAAAAGTGGTCTAACTCATACTATAGGCTAGCTAAGTATTGTGTGAGAAACAGGATCAGTCTAGTTAGTTAAGAAATAATTTAGACCAGTTTTGATTAATTGGAAAGATCTGACTTAAAAGAATGGTTTATTCAGGAATCAGAGAGCTAGGAACTCGATTGCTTTTTATGAAGGTTTAGATAAGATTTTGCTTCCGGATTGAAGCTTGAAAGCTTTAGCCCATTTAAGCCCCGTTCACACTACACGCGACCAAGCGACGCGATACCATTCATTTCAATGGTGAGTGGGCGACTTCCGGCGACACGCGCGACAGCGACCGTTGGCGACCGGATGGGGCGTGTCTGGCGACGCGACAAAGTTGAGATCTGTTTAAAATATCTCCATTTGAGTTCTGAAATTACATAAAAAAATGTAATTCTGTCTTAGGAAGTGTATACCTTAGATGCTCAAACTGGTCACCATTTCATTTGTTATGTGCCACATTTTTTTGCATTTAGTAGTTCATTTTAAATAGTTGAGTGGCAAATTTATTTTTAAAAGTAAAAATATTTCATAGTCCCTCTGTTATAATGAGCTTCTAAAATGTTTTTAAACAAGTTTTATATGGAGCATGTCACACCGCAGTACACAATACAGATTCAATTGCTTTAAAAATAGCAGCAGATTGAAAAGTGTTTCCTAACACAAACCTACTCTCGCCTTCAGCCACAGATGAACCCAAGAACCCAGACAGCTCATCGCATCACTCACCTTGCTATTGAGATGGCAAATCCTATCTCACTCATGCCTGGTCTACCACAGCAGGGTCACTGGGGTCAAGGTAGGCTTTGTGTTATTTATCAAGGGCCAACACCCTGTAAGTGACAGGAAAGAGAGCCAGTCTGGTTCTTAGTTCGTACCTAATTCAGAAAAGAAGTTTTGCTTGAGAAATAGCTGGAACTGAATGCATCAAATAGGCATATAAACTGTAAAAAAAATACGAGATTTGTTGACTCATGCTGCACACGGGCAAAAAAAAAAAGGTCCAAAATTGTTTATTGTCAATATGAAGCACAGCTCACACAGATGTCACTTTCAAACCAAGCAACTGTCTGTTGGTCAACATGGCCAACTTGAAGCCATGAAGAAATCTGCGTGCGAAATAGTTTGTTCTTACGCGAAATTCCCGATCATGTGGATTTCTATTAATGACTGGATTTGGAAAGCAAAAAAGTCCTGAACAATGTTCAGTCATAAAGTTGGTGGTCTTGCAACGCTCAAGAGTTAATTCTTGACATATAGAGTTAACTCTATTAACATATAGTTAATTCTTGCATGGAGCCATGATGGGGTTGGGGACATTTTTATTAATGATTTATTTTTTAGGGCAGAGAGCTATTTGGGTTACTTGAAGCTGAGTTAGTAATTAAACTGATCACAACTTGTAGGTTGTACTACTATCTATACATTTTGAGCAGTATTAGGTTTCAAAGCTTTCAAAATGTGAGCTAAGTAAGTTTCCGTTCTTTAGGGTGTGTTTTTAAAGAGAAAGGTTGAGATAAAGTCCATGAGAGAAAGACGAAGGTGAATGATGAGAGTGGTAAGCAGCTGAGACAGGGAAAAGACAGAAAACAATACTAGAGGTCAGGTCCTGACAGGTGCGATCAAACTCATCACAAGTTGCAGGATAAGGGAACTCACAGCCACCACAGGGGGTCACACTGCACTTGTCACAGCCAATCAGACACAGCCACAGCGTGAGTGCTGCCTTTGTTTGTCTCACCTCACTGTGAGACTTTTCTAGCCAATCATCTTGATTGATTCTGGGTTTGACTGACAGGGATGAGGGAAGGAATTGCAAAGCGTGTAATAAAGGTCAGTGGAGTGTTGTAAACTGCTCTTGACTCGTGTATAAAATCTAAAAGGTGACACAAAGTTAAATCATTTTTTGTTTATGTGTTTATTATTAATTTAGTCCTGGTTTTTTTTTTCT